TTATTTAAACGGCTTGGGCATAAATGATTCCTTTAGAAATTTTTCTTTATTAACAGGAGATTTATATTTGCAAAGGTAAAATAACTGATTGTATCATTTTTCTATTTACATATAAAATTTTGAAATTTTAATTTTAACACATATCACTAGTTGCTTATTTATTAAAATATTTTTTATAGTTCATACATGTACACATGTTTTTTATTTTTTCCATAAAGATAAAATTAGACGCATAAATCTAGCAGTTATTTTAAAATAAAATTTCCTATATAGTAATACATAATGTATTGCGTCATAGATTGAATTTTATACATGAAAAATCTAAGTACATGATGACTTATAATAAAATACAAAATAATTCCTACAAATAGTTATACACAAACGAGTAAAATATATTTTATTCTAATATGTGTTTTGATAAACAAATAGTTATTATATAGAACTGCAAATTAAGAGAAAACGTGAATGACAAATTTAAAATAACTTAAGATAAACTTTATTGCATTATTTAAAGTGTACTATATACATTAAATTTAATATAGCTATAATTGAATTTATCAAAATTATATATTATAAAATAAATTTTATTTGAATAAGACTTGTAATTTCATTCAATAAATTTATAGTTGTTTACATAATTTTACGCTCACGGGTTTTTCACATAAACATTAATAAATAATTGTAGCGTGAAATTACACTAAAACCATATGATACACAAACGATAAGGCAATAAATTGTTAATCAGCTATTTTACAAATGTCATATACTTTTTCAATTCCTTGTTCCATATATTAAGATAATACATAGCGATTTTCACAAATTATATACCATATCAACATTTTTAAAAATGTGTGATATCTTATGGTAATTGTTCAATATTTTTCTTTCTATGATACGCTTTCGAAGACAAACTGTTTATAATTATAAAAGGTATATGTGTCATGATTTTCTAAAAAAAAAAAAATACTCAAAAATTTGATGGAAAAAATAAAACAAAGTCAATTATATTAAAGTAAAGGAAATAGCAAAATAAATTCGCAATGAAACAAATTTTGTGTATAAACAAGGCATCTTAATGAACAAATTGAAATAATAAGAATAAATAATAAATTTAATTCATGAATCCCCATTTTCTTAAATATACTTCATGATTTTTTTAAACACACTTCGCATTTATTATATTATTAAATATACTAAATGTTTTATTTTCAAAATTGATAACCATAGAGTGTTCATCAAGAGAAAATTATACATGTATCTTGTTAACGCCAAGTTCTGTACATAAATACTACATAATGCATGAAGATCAAGCAATCGGATATAATGAGAATCCTTATGTGATACACTTTTCTAGCATTGAAACAGATTCTTTGAAAAATTCCATTCCTCACATTGTTTATAAATTGGTAATATATGGGGAATACTCATAATTACCATGTTGCGGAAAAAAAAGTACACATTTTAAACAACGAACAAGAAAAATTCGGAAAAATATATCTTCAATAAAAACAAAATTAAATTAAATGTACAGAGAAAGTGAGCAAAAATAAATGAAGAACTAACAGGTAAACCTTTAATGGTTATGGACAATTCCCGCTAATCATTTGATGAAGTTTTACAGAGATAATTATATTTAACGCAGGAAAGTATGCCATATTTATCTGAAATCTAAATATGTATAACTTACATAATATAGAATAAATAATAAATAATGCATCGCTAAATATAATATGTGAAAGTAATAATTATATTATGTTCATTATATATTATTTCTTAATGTTATAATGGCATACAACATTACCTAACAAAATAATATTTGACATAAAAATTTCGCGTTCATATGTACAATAAATTTGTAATATCGTGGATGAAACAAAAATCATTTGTAAAATTGCTAAGCCAAATTTTTACTGCTAATTGTAACTAAAACAATTTTAAAATTATGTTTTTACATTACACAAAAAAAAAATTCAAAAAATTTTAATTACATTAATAAAGTACAAAATGTTCCTTTTACAAAAACATATCTTAAAAATAAAACATATTTATCAAAATTAGGTAGTATCATTGAAAAAGCAAAGCAAAACAAAACAATCATATTATATGATTTTCAAATTAAATAATATTTTATACTATATTTCTCTATATAAGTTTCTTTTTGTAGTATATTTAGACAATTTTAAACATGTTTGTATGTACTTAATTATACTTCATTTCTTAATTTATGAAAACTACAGCAATATTACTATACATAATTATAACATATTACACATTTCTACTGAAGTAATGTTGTTCAAAAATAACTGTATTATAATTCTAGCACTTTTACTTATCTAATACGCTTCTATTTTACTAAATATATTGTAGCACACTTTGATCCTTAATATTTAATATTATATATATAAGGCAGAATATACATTTTTAAGTTCCATAAATTCTAATACAGATACATTGTGTTTAATCCTTCACATCCTTAACAATTTTACTCTTTATAAAAAAAAAGTCTGCTTTTTCAATATAGCATAATACAAAATTTATTTTATCCTTTATATTTTTTTATTTCTTTCCTGAGATTTATTATGATTAAACATTGTTACTCCGTATATTGTAGAACATGTTTTATATATTTTCACCTTAAATAGTTTTATCTTATATATATATGTACATATTTAGAAATAATTATCTTTTACAACTTGGTGTGTGAAATACAATATCTACTTATTTCTGAGTTTAAATACGTAACTTTTGAATTATACGCTGGCAAATCATCGTCTTCAAGCTCATTATAATAATTATTTTTTAATTTCTCTTTTTTTCGTTTATTTTTTTGTGAACTTGATCCTAATCGAGTAGACTAATACAAAAGTGAAAGTGTAAAACGTGTGAATTTATATTTACCTTATAATTATAAATTTAAAAAAAAATAAAATAAATGTTATTATTTTTAACATTATATTCTTATATTTTAAAATTGAATGTCCAATTACTCTGTAATAATAAAAAAGGAAGAGGAATGTTCCAAGTACTGAAACAGCTATAAAAATATTACCAAAAGAATTGAAGTCTAATTTATTATACACTGTTTCGGTATTCCTATGGGTGTCATAAATAACCACAGGTTCTTGGATATCCCTGAACTCTGATGAATAGGCTGATACTTTATTTTTATTATGATTGGTACTCTCACTTGATGGGAAACTTAAAGATAATTTATACCCTACAGCTGCTTCCTCTTCAGGTACTTCTTCATCCTGTTCACTTAACTCCTCAAGTTTTTTGTTTAATTTTTCCATTAAATCATTCGGTTTATATTTATCATCACATTTCATATAGGATGTACAAAGATTTCCAAGATCTTCATCTTCACAACAATTATGTATTTTCTGTTCATATATTTCTTTAATGTAGGTAACATATCGTATGTGTTTTTCACACGTTTCTTTATCAAGATCCAGGGAATTAATATTTCCATAATTTTCAAAATAATCGTGTAAATCTTTTTCTTCTTTCCACAGTTTCGGATATCCATATGTATATCCGTTGCAATCTGGTTCCTCTAAATTACTTAAACTAACTATTGATACAAAATTAAATAGTTTTCCAGCAACAAAGTTATTGTTCACTTTATCATTTATATTATAATATTTTTTGCTAATCTTATTATGGAACCAGTGTTGAAAGTAGTGACAACCATGTTTTTTTTTTTCCCTATTAATTTCACTTTTTAATATTGATAAATTTTTTGCTATCTTGGTACAAAGTGTTTTATCCTCTTCATTACTTCTTTCTAAATCATTACAATATTTTTGATTATAATTACTTATGTCCACATTATCCAACTCTTTATATTTTTTATATGACGGCAAATTAGGTAAAATGTTTTCCTATTAATTAAAATGAACAAATAGTTGTCTTTATGTAAATATACTTTTCCATTATATATAATTTCCTTCACATTTGCTAAAAAATAGTAGATCATTGAAATAATAAGCAGAATTTGTAAAATCAAAATATAAATATACCCAATCATTCTCCATTAAAAATTGAATTCTATGATTTGGAATATATTAATTACATATTTACTCTCATAATTACAAAAGTATATATACATATAAAAAATTAAATCTCTTGATTTGTTGAAATTGTTTACATTTCTCCTGGTAGCTTCAAAAATTAGATGAAACATATGAAGATTATAGGGCACAATAAAACAAAATTGACAAATATAAAACAAAATAAAACAAAATTAATAAAAATAATAAATGTAAAATTATTTTAATATACCAATATATTCAACATTACTCACATAAAACATGTATAATAAAGCGAATTATAATATCTGCTCCAACATATCTAACATTTTATGTGATGTTCACAAGTTTTGTTAATTGTTGTAAGGTACCATAATCCTTTTTTTCTGAAAACAGGAAAACGTATATTATACTTTTTTATAACAACAACAGTATTCATTTAGAAAAAAAGAAAAAAATATTCCAACAATATAACCATATACGAATACGATGCTTATTATTAAAACACAAATAAGGCAAAATGTGTGGAACCGATTGGGGATAAATATAAAGATCATAACAGTAGGCTCAAATAGGAAAATACAATAGTTATAACGGAAAAATAAAAAATATATAAAGAAAAAAAACTTTTTCCAAATATAATATTAAACTATTAAAACTTGAATACTATAAAAAAAAAAAAAAACAAAGAGAAAATTTTTTTGAAATATATAGAATTTTTTCAAGATAATACAAGAAAACATAATGTCTTCACGATTTTTAAAGCATTTTACGTTACTTGTTTAGTGTTATTCATAGTGTGTTATACTATAAGTCTAATTTTTTTTTTTTTTTTCCTTTCATTTATTCTCCCTTTTTTTTTTTTTTTTTTTTTTTCTATATACCTGTTCGTAAAGCATTTATCAATTCTTTGTGCTTAATAGAACTTTTTTTTTTTTTTTTGTAAAAGCATAATGTCAAAATATACATATAATCGATAACGTCGCATTATGACAAATAATTGCTATAAAGTATATTCTTGATGCATCAAAATATAATTACATTATTGATGTTAAATCAATAAATATCTATCTTCATGAGGGTTACTTTTAATGTATTATCTAAAATTTAAGGTGCATATTATTGTTATAGCTAGTGACGAATACAAATTGTTAGTAAACTCATATTTTAAGAGCGTTCATCTTGTTTTAATGTATATTAATATAAAATGTTTCATTAGTTGTAATATTAGGTATAATATATTTATAGAAATAATTTAAGAAATATGTTAATCCTCTCGCTGTATAAAACAAGAAAAGTTCTAAGGAAACTTCATTAAAAATTATAAGAAAGCATTTTGTAACATATATAATTCCAATAAATATTTATTTTAATATAATAAATTATTATAAATTTATTAATTTCATGATTAATGGTGCAATATATTTAATATATAAGATCATTATGGTTGTACATTGAACATTACACATAAGAAATGATGAACAAATGACTGAGGAAATGAAATTTTAACAAAAGAAAATACTATTCATTATAAGACTATTATGTGAAATTATAATGAAGAAATGCGGAAAAATATGTAAAATTTCTTATTTTCTCCATATGCAGTGGGTTAATGTCTACAAAAAATTAAAATATTTTTATGAATAAATTAAAAATTTTTAAGATATACAAAGTTTTATATACATTATTGTGTAATTCTATATTTATCATATTTTAAACAAATATTCTTCACCACTACTGTCTTATTTTTATATAACACAATTAATCCTATTTCTTCGCTTCATCAGTATATATTTAATATTAGTATTAAAAAAATGTCTATATATTATAAAACTGATAGCGTTATATAAAGAAAACCATTAATAAGTTAGCATTTTATAAAGGTGTAATACAAAATAAAATTATGTATCTAGTTTTCAAATGGAACAATTGAAAGTAATGATATATTTTATATAACAATAATTTTTTATCTAACTAAGAAACATTTAATTTCGATGTGCTATTTTAACCTTAACCATATTTCATTTCTCATTCTAATATGAAAATTTCACATGCATACATTATTATAGTATAATGGCTATTATTCATAATATTATAATTTTAAAGTATATTATTATAGAATAATTATCCAAACAAACTTCTATATATAATATTACTAATCTCCACAACATGCTGTCCTATATTAATCCAGGCTTTGCATGTAAATGGTCACCACCACTAAATAATCTTAATAAATGATTTATTACAAAATGCATTTATATTAAGTTAAACAGGAAATGCATTAATAAAACTATGTAATAGATGTGGAAAATACATGTATACATATTAATAATTTCGTATATAATACTAGGATTATATGCATGACTGTATAGATTATATGTATTCATTATGTTTTCCTGCGAGAGTAAATGTTGTATGTTTACACTTTTTATAATATTTTAACATTTAAATAAAATATTATAATTATGTAACACGTTTTTATAAGAATGATTTTAACCATTTTTATTAACAAAATGGAATTTATACATATATAATATGTTTTGCAGAAGTAGCATATATCAAAAAACCTTCATGCTAGTAGTAAAACAGATATGAGGAACTTTTTGTGCTATTTTAGAGTAAAGTATGTATTCATATAACTATAAAAATTTAAGTCTTTTCTATACATCTAAAAGTTGTATTATGTAATAAATAAAGCATGAAATATATTAAATGCGAGAAAAGGTATACTTAAGTATACACATAATAGAAAACATAGTAAAAACCAATATTTTACAAAATAGACAAATAAATTATGTTATGAACAAACAATGCAAATTGTGTATAATAAGCAAACAATTAATAAAACCTTGAGAAAATTCTACAAAGAAGTTTTTTATTTTGCTCGTTATTTATTCTTTTTTCTTGTCGTTAATAAATAGTAAAACGAATTTTATGCATTTGATATTCAGTAATGCTTTGTAATAATTCAATTATTTATTAAATTTATACTGTGGATAAAAAATTCTATATAAAGTAATTCATCTATCATATTTAATTTTTACAAAAGCATATTTTTATTAAAAATTAATAATAATTATAAATTTATTCGTTTATTCTATATTATATAACATTTAAAAGGGTATAGCTGCTAATACATAACTAGTGCAGCAGTACAGTATAGGCATATAAAGTGTGTCTCATAATTCATTATTACGTTATATGAGTTACAATTCACTGATAATCCTGATATTGTATGGAAGAACATTTATATGTACGGAAATAGTTACAATTGAAAAAATATTAATGCAAAATTTTAGTTGTATCTATTCATTTTATGAAATAACAATTAATAAAAGTTATAATAAACAAACGTCTTTTTCAATTGTTTGAACATTTTTCGAAAATCTACTCCTTTTTCTTTTTCTTTTTTTTTTTTTTTACAGTTCAAATAAAAAACCTATTATCGTTATGTTATTCTTTATTCCTTATATAATACGTCTAATTTAAATCAACAACGTGCAAAAATTGTTACGTATAACTGTAGCAATTATCTATACAATATTTTAAAGAAACACATAATTTATGTAGAATCAAAAAATATTTTCATACTATTACAAAAATGTATGTGAACTTACTGAGATGGGTCCACATTAAATGTCTCAATTTATAAAATAAAACAAGTAGGAAACAATTCATTTTTTGTAAAAATCTTGCTATTAAATTAGTTTATAGAAAATTATTACATATATATAAAAATTCTTACAAATACAAGTTTTAAATAATAATATTTTAACTAATAAATAGCATCGTTTCTTGAAAAATAATTGTAATTAAAATTATGTTTAGGGTTTGATTATATTTCTATTATAATATGAACAAAGAAAGAGATTTGTAAAAGAGGATCATCCTTGTTTAAATAAATTGTACCAAAGTCTGATACATAATGTATATAAACCATTTAATAAGCTTTTTTACAATAAAATTTAATATATACATTAACTTAATACTATAAATATATTACTAGAATTAATGTGTATATATATTAAGCACATACTCATTCCATAAAAATAACTTATTCTCCAAAAATTCAAATAATATATCCTCTACACGTATTAGAATGCCTGATAAAAACATCATTGTGCCTTTTAAATTATCTATACATAATTCTTATTATTACAATGTGTTAATGTTCTGCTTCCCAATTATTATAATCGTTTAATGTTATAAAAAATAATAATCATAAAACATAGTACAGCTGTTTATATTTTTCATCATGGTATATTCAAAAATGAATTTTATAATTATACTTATGCATATATGTTTTCTTTAATTTACTTCATTTAGATGGAAATATTCTTATAAATTACTAGTTACGTTTTTAATTTGTTTACGCTTCTCAAGCACTTTCATGAAATAACCTAATAAAAAATGTTTTTATTTTTAATACATATTTCCTATGATAATAATATTTTATCATTAAAATCCTATGTTTTTTAGTGCATATTTATATTTTTCATATAATTCAATTAAAAAGAATAATAAAACATTTAAAAATCGTTACCATATTTTTACCAATTTAATGATTATTCAGATATATTTAGCAAAAAAGAATCTAATACTTTTGTTGTAACATGAATGATATATTTGTGGTTCTCATTATTTTTCTAAACATGCATATTTTTCTATTTTGAATCATTTATTTAGTTGAAATAGCAATTATTTATTTTTATCATATAAATGTAAGAAAACAATATGAATACAGTTACATTACTCTTAAATATGTGGGAGAATATATAGGGAAAACTACATTATGCACTTCTTAATTGAATAGTGCAGGTATTTTTTACATTTTTTGCATTACATATTTCAGATGAATTGTAGTGGAATAAAAAAAAAAAAATATATATAAAATGTTCATTTTACTTAATATTTTTTAATCCTATAATATATATCAATAAAACGTAATTTACGAATAAATGTTTTCTTCTAAATATATATAAAATACCATAAAAGGTGCGTAAAAAAAAAATATAAATGAAATAACGTATCTTATAATTGATTTTATAACACTTAATATCATACATAAAATTGCTTTATACCTATGCTTTCATAAGTTATTTGATATAATAAAATTATGTGTTAGTTCTTTTGTTAGATACATATACATATAATCATTTATACTAATTCTATTTATTCATTTTTTTATTCTTAGTCAAAGTAATTTTATGTTATTTCCATTTATCTAATTTTATGAGAAAAGGAGAAACAAATTTATTTCACTTGCATTCTCATATTTCTAAATAAATTTGAGATATACATATCATCTATACACATATTTTACATTTTAAGTGCATAATTTTCAATACTCCATTTAGTTTAGTTAATATATAATTATTCCTGTCATAATGTTAATTTTAATAAAATGCATAAGAAAGGTTGTGTATGCAAAATATTTTCCCTATAATAACGATACTTGTGAATATAATGGTTTGGTATAGACTTTATTTTCCTTCATAATATAGGAATGCTTTGATAAATAGTCTAAACATTAATAAAGAAAGTATCTAATTTGCACAAGTCCAAAATTAATAGTTAGAGCAATAATAGTCAATCATACATACAATTATCTCATATTAGAGTAAAACCTTTATTTAATTTCTTTTTAGTCCACAATTTTTATGTAATTAAAGTATTCATAACCGTAATAACTTTACATGTGTTAATGAGTGCATAAAAATATAGCTATCCTTTTGTAAATAAAAATTATATTGAACTGAAGATGGGTATAGTGAAAGGAAATTTTAACTTTTTCATCTTAACTATATATATGACTTCTATTATCTTAATTTGGATATGTCATTGTTACAATGATAATGTATAATAATGATATGAAATAAAATGACCTTCTACTTAATAATTTTTTTATTAATAAATTGATTTAGTAATATAACAATTTTTCTTATATTATAAATGTTAAATCCATTTCTCCTTGTATTTTTAGCACAATTCCAATGATTTGGTGGATACATATAATAATCAAAATAGTGACTTGAGTTCTGAAGTGGATGAGTTATTATGGAAGAAAATATTAGATAGAAACTATGTGGAACAAAGAAATATTTTTAGTCCAAAAGAAATAATAACAGAAATCATAGATGTTGTAGAAGATTTGGAAATCCCAAGTAAAATAAAAAGACTAGATCGCTATTGTGAAAAAAAAATTAACGAAAAACTTAGTAATCTAAATAAAATAATGGAAGATAGTAATCTTGATAAAAATGCTTATTTAAAGACTCAATTCAAAAATATCCTTCCTCTATTAAAGATACCACTGATTATAATTTTTTCAGCCGTTTTTCTTTTATTGAATCAATTTACAAATGGAATCTTAGTATATTCTATTGTAATTATAGGTTCCTTATTTTGTGTATTCATCCTTATATATATTTTCTTGAAAATTCTAAAGTCACGTATGAAACTAGAGGATGACGAAAAACCGGAATTACAAGATTATAAAAATGCCCTTATGGACATATTTAAATTATTTTTAAAATAGTACAGTTATATGTATTTTATCATATGCATAATAATATATTTATGAATATAAAATTTTTGTAAATATATGTATAAAATACTAAAAATTTAGATTTACAACTCTAATAAATGTATAGATGGATATAGTTAGAAAATTTTTTGTCCTAGTATATTTTTATTTATATATGATGCTCTTACAATGAATTAATTTATTAAATATATGTTTACAAGCTCATTTGTTCTAATAGAAAGTACTATTATAGTATATATTCTATAAGAAAATAATTATGAAGTCTATCAGATGTAAAAATGTATCTACTTATTTAAAACTGTGTTCTAATTATTTTTCATATGATACCCATGATTACATCATTTATAAGTAGTAAATTTTTGCTGAAAAATTGTTTATTTGTGTATACAAATGCATATATAGAGTCACCAATTACATTCTATTATCTACGTTTTTGCATGTTTTAATATGAATCCAACGAAGATTAAATATATTCAATATCATTTTATTTAATCATTGACGTGTCCAATTTTTTGCACATTTATATCCATTATATTATTTAAAAAAATATAATAGAATATTTATTATTTTAATATGCTGTAAAATATTGTGCATAATATTATCATAGCTATATACATTATTTTGTCGAGCAATTTCTTTTCAATAATAAAATAAAAAAATATACATAAATAAAAATATTTATCCGAAATATTCTCCATCTGATAAATGTTCTTATGCATATTTACATATTATGACATAAATAAATATAAAATATATACCTACACAATGAAGGAAAAAGCACATATATATATCTTATGAAAAATGCATGATTAATTAATAGCTACAAAATTTTCTATACTTTATTATATGTTACAACAAAAACAAGTGTGTACTTGTGTATTCTAAATTATATCCATACTTATTTGTGCAAAATTAGTGTTATTGACTTTATTTATTGCATAGATTGTATAAATTTAATTTTTAATCATATTGTGTGTCATTTCATATTGCTTATATTATGTCTCTAATTAATGTACTGTCCTAAAGTTCATATATTCTTCATTCAAACATTATTTTAACAAAGTATCATTCTAAGATATGTTATAAAATATAAGAATTAAAATATAAAGAACACTGAAAAAATTTCAATATGATAACATTCTAGATTCTATTTTTAGAACATCATATTTTGTGAACATTAAGCACTCCACCCCCACTCCCAAAAAAGAATAAAATAAACATATCATCTTGTGTTATAATAAACTCAATTGTCTAACATATAACTTGAACGTACTCACAAAAAGTATATTTTTAATAATAAATATCAAGATTTTCATATTCTTTCACTGAGAGAAACATGAAATATATATGTAATTATAGTTTTTACTTTCCCTCATGCTGACATGACTTCTACATATCATATACAGTAAAAATAATATAATACATATATGCATCTTTATGTGTAATTTTATTACCATTCCTCAAATACATTTCCCTGAATATATAGTGATATATGTTTTAGAAAATTACGTTATGACATTTCATTATTTTAATTTGATCATTAAGGTAATCAACAATAATCGTGAATTATTTGTTTAAAATATGTCCATATTGTATTATAATTTTACAACGCTTTATTATAATTTTATAGAATTTATAATAGAATAAATTATTTTACATATAAATAGAATAATATATATATATCAATTTTGTATGTAGATCCAAAATTATAAATAATTATCATGACTATAATGATTATGAGAAAATATAATTATAAATTTGTTTAAATTAATGTACTAAGGTTTAACGCTTATACAAATTTTAGTTGCGAAAAATAAAAAAGATTTATTATAACTAAATAATGAAAAAGTACTGAAACAAATAAAACAATATAATATTTTCCGCTTATTCATAAAGAAGAAAAAATATATTTTAAAAATTATTATATGCAAAGAAAAATGTATTTTGAATAATTTGTTTAGTTTTAACCTGTGAAGTATTTATCTCATATATATGTTACCTACATTTACTTTTAAATGATCAGACAAAGTTAGATAAGAAATTACATTTTTCATAATAATGCATATTAGAGTGAATGTTTAAATACAAATAATATTTTTTATCATATATTTTTATTTATGTAACCAATATATTAACACATGGTGTGTCTGTTATTTTATACTGATTTTTAAAGTTAGGTTATATAAGATAAATAAAATTATGGCAGATGATATTATTAAAAAATAATAAATAGATAATATATATATATATATATATATAACGCTAAATAATAATCTTTTGTAGGTTGATCAACAATGGAAAAAAAAAATTTTAATTATTACTATATTTATTTTTTACTTTACAAAATATTTTTCAGTATATTTATTTTTATGAATTAGTAATATTACGTTTTACTACTACTTTAATTTTTTTTGCTTTTAGTTAAACTTTTTTCTTTTGTTTTGTTATATTTTATTATTCTATATTTTCAAGAGTCAATAAACATAAATAAAAAATTTACAATTAAAAATGAATTAATTTGGTTATTATTTTAAGAAAAAAGACACAATTTATAAGAAATTATACAATCACTACTATTAAAAAACCTTTTTTATACTATGTTAATTAGGTATAATATAAAATATTGTAGGTGTCTTGTAATAGTGATTTTACCTAAGATTTCATATATACATGTTTCATTAATTTTACGTAATACACCTTAAAAACCTAATTATTGATTTGCGTGGTTTTTAATTAATTATATTGTGGGAATATTGAGAATGGATGACACTTAATCATTTCCTTCACATACTTTATATTTATATATTTTATTTTTAATGTTCTCATAATATGTGCAATAAATATACAAATATTTATAAAATATTATTCTTTAAAAAAAAAAATAAACATAAATTTATATTATTCATGATTCTAATAAATGTGAAAAAATATCTGAGTAATGTGATATATCATTATAATAATCGTTATAAATGGAATATTTTAAAATATTATTGGATCTGTATTATACAATAAAATATTAATATACAGTAAATATGTTAATAATATGTTTAATATAATTAATCATTAGAAAAATAAAATGTTTAAATAAATATATTATATATATTATATTGATCTATGTATTTATGAAAAAATTAAATAATTAAAATTTGTAAAATTTCGTAGGTATTTTTTTCGTTAGATATACGTGTAGAGAATAAAACACATATT